CTGTGAGATCTGCGTGGTTAAATTCCTTGAATACATCTTTACTTAAACACCCCACTTAAAAATCATGGGAAAGCAACTGGTAAGACTCAAGATCAATACAGCAATCACAAGATACCACATTCCAAGATACCTTCGTTTAAATATAAAATTCAATCAAAGAAACGAATTTAATTAGACTCTGAAAATGAAACGAATTACCAAAAAAGGAGAAGTACAAATTAATTACGATTTTAACCTAATTATTTCCATATTTATGATCTCAAAGGCATTGATTCGAGGTCAATAAGAAAATTATTCGATTCGATTTCGCGTGATTTCTGCAGTATCAATTAGTATAACTAAACAACAGCCACGTTTTGCTAAAACCACACCGTTCCATTGTCAAATTTTGCTGTTGCGGGCGTGATAAATAGCCGGACGGTACAATGAGCCGAAAATTTATTAAAATTGAACATTAGGCCGATGGCAGTGCATTAACAGGGTTCGCGTAGCCGCGACGGTGAATCGATGTCACAACACAAAAGGTTCGCCACACCGTGGTGTAATTTATGACGGTTCATTTCGCGAGGCCGACCGTACGCTTAATTCATCATAGCAACTTTCCCAAAAAATTTCCTCGACACCGTTACATAAATCAAAAGATTCCACTCAAAATTCATTTTTTAAAATTATCTCCAAATAACCTTGCAATCGTCAGACGAGGGTTAACGCCACCCTAAAAAAATCAAACAACAAAATAACACGTTCGAATCCACTAAATCAGCCCGACAAGCCACGAGGATCAGTCCGCGGCACGCGACGCGTATAGAAAGACGCGAGGAGGATTTTTAAGAGACCTTAAATCCCCGCAGATAAATCGGCCGAGTTCCCGGGATTTTTGTTACGCGGGATGGGGAAAGATCTCTCCTGAAAGTACCACATAGAATTCTCGGCGCGAACGGGTCCGCGAAGGAACGTGGCAATCGTCCGTTGTCAGCAGGAAGAGACGCGCGACAACAACGTACGCTGCTTTCCAAACGATCGACAGCATGCTTCTGACGAAGCGAGCCGAGTGCTGGTGTCAGCCACCTCGGATGCACGCTCCAAGGGTTGCTCGAGCGAGAGGATCGAGCGTGCACGACACGGGCACGTAGTTTGCCCGAAGGTGAACGCAAGTGTGATGTCGATATCGCGTGCGCGGTCCTGGCCGCTTTTGGACCCGCGGCCGAAGCCTGATCAGGAGAACGATGATAATTCGAAGAAGAACGAGAAAGATAAAGAGAAGACAGAAAAGAAAGAGGAAATCTGTCTGCCCAACAATGGTAGCCCTCGGGTACAAGCCAGGCGATTTTTATCCAGACATTATTACCCGGAAGGAGGCTGGGGATGGGTCGTCACTGTCGTTAGCACCTTGGTTAACCTACTGGGACCTGGTTTGCAACTGTCCGTCCCTGCTACCCTAACTCTGCCAGCTACGGTCAAGTTTTATCATCATCCATTGCACACAGCTGGTGAGTTTCCGATGCACAGATACGTTAATGTTAGTTATAGCTTTCATCCGGAGATGATTTTGGAGTTCAACTCCGGATACGAACGGGGATGACAAGTTGTTTCGAATTCCGTGGAGTTGATACTGAGGAAACGAGTCTGACAGTGTTCACTGAGATACTGTGAAGTTACCGCGATGTCGGTTGACAAAGAAGTTGATAATAATTTATTATTACCTCGTAATAATGCTAGAATAGTAGTATAACACAGTGACTACAAATCTATAAAATTGATTTGGTATCACTTTGATGCAAACGTATGGAACAAACGACTAATTAGAGATATACTTTGATCTAGATAGAAGTCAAAGATAAAAGGAAACGGCAACTTTTTGTAGGCGTTCGAAGTCGGTTTAATAGTCTTGCCTAAAATTTACGAGAAGCAGATGGTTTCGTTGGTTATACTCAAGTTTCGAGTACTGTTTCCTATCGGAACAGCCTTTTAATTGGCAAACTCGAAACATACGTTTCAGTTTCGCGGCGGAATTTAATAGGCGACCGGAAAACGTAGTAAATTCGAGTTGGTATTACGCTAAAACCGCGTTATTCTGACTTTGGTAACATTGAGAAATTGACCACCGAGATTGTGGAACAGAGGATTGCAACGTTGATCATTGAAAGTACCTTTTTTAATTACTGTTACAGATTATATTACATTTGAAACATAAATCAGTGGTGACCACCATGGAAATCGAAGTTCCTTTCGTTTCATCCCTTATCGTTCAACCCCCTCACATTTTCTTAAGGGCAACATGTGAGACAAAAGTCTTTATCGGAAAAAGTTGTGATGGCTGTTATGAAGGGCATTTATCACAGCCCTCCAACTTGATCGCCCTTATCAGCACGATATCAATCAGTATACTTACAGAAAAAAGCCCTGTTTCAAACAAAAGAACCATTACAAGTATACATGACAGAAAATACTTTTATTATTGTGGAATTAATAATATTTCAAGTACGTAAGAAGATTGAATATTTTAAAGGAATTTATAGTTCTTAAAATTTTAATCTATTCCTAAGTTATATTTAGAAAATTTAATCCCATGATCACAAATTTACCATTTCTTCTTACTTGTGTATATTTCTTCTATTCGTTGTAAAATGTAAGAATAAAATTTCAATTTCAATGGAACACTTGATTGAAACAGAGTAAATATACTAGCCAGCAATAAAACAGGTCAAAACATTTATAATGTTAAAACATGATGAAAGGAAAGAGTGTTTGTTGTTTCTAAAAATAAACGCTGAGTATTCATACAAAGTTTCGTAGCCCGCGGTGATCACCACATCCTGTTACACTTACTTCAATCCCCTCAACCATATTATAGTGACATCTTTCAACCTTCTAAAGGTTCTAGGGAATTTTTTCAAGTTTCAATCTGAATTACCGACTAACCCAAAGCTACCAGAATATCATAGCGCACTCTATCTTTGAATGAAGTAGAATATTGTACCGAAGAAAACAGTCGATATGTAACACGCTGCCTTTTCTTTTACTCTTTTTATTCATTAACCCTCAGAGGATAGACACTGGGTCATTCAAGACCCAAAAATATAGAAATCTACTATTTTATGCTTAAATGAATTTCTCCGACACATATGTCTTTTAATCACCCATCTGTGCAAGAAAAATTATTGTTATTGCTGTGTTTGTACGAACAAGGAAGACAGAAGGCAGGAACTTTCTCCAGTGAGAAAAGCAATTATTGAAGAAAATATTGATTTATATTCAATAAGTAAATTATACTGGTCCTGAAGCACCTAAGTTTCCTCATTTACGCAATTACTCTTCTAACATTTCATTATTACTTGACGAATTTAAGAAGAAATATAGTTCATGAAGAGTTTAACAGGTTGACTGCCACAATGAAAACAAATGTGTGAAGCAATTGTTCAGTATACTATCAATTTAAATTAAAATTTAAAAAAAAAATTGAAATTTTTCCTAATTGAGAATGGATCCTTAACTGATGCAGTAGAAAAGGATATATATAGTCAGACACATTGAAACTCTGATTATTAAGTTGATTTAAAAACTCTGGTTATTTTCTATTCTATCTTTTGATATCTCGAGCATCTAGGTTTCATTTGACAGAAACATGCCCTAAATGATTGAAATGAACCTTCATTGTGGAGATTGGCAAGAGAGTGGTTGCAATAAAGAAAAGAATTTCAAGCCTCTCGCTGAATGCTCGATTCAATTATCTCCAAGTGTTACATAACGATAGCTCTGGGAATCACTGAAGAAAAAAGAAGGGAAACGTTTCAATAGAAAATGTTTCATGAATTGTAACCTCTCATAAGGCTGACATTAAATTAGCAATAAAATACAAAAACGTTCGACCGAGCCCCATGGCAGTCGAATAGACTATTATGCTCTGTCTATTAATAAAAAACACTTGTTCGTTTTTCAATAAATAATAGACAAGATCTTTCGTGGGCGACTAACATCTGTAGACATTCTTCATCAACTATTATAAAAGAGACAAAAATAAGATACATAAAAATCAGATGAAATTACAATGTGTCATTTTATATTGAATATTAAACGGAAGTAACTAGAAAAAATGGAGCAAAATTACATTCTGTGGCAAATGTAATAATCTAAAGCAGAGATCTGGACGATTTCTTGCAGGCATTATTAGACTGCTGAACCACAGCACGTCATCTTGACGCGTAATAGCTGTCAGCCAATTCTTTTCTCTACCCAGAGGGTATCGGTCATCATCGATCGAGAGATTCGGTCCTTTCTGACCCTGATATTATTATAATATTTTTGAGGATAATGTTCACTATACTGAGAAATTCGAAAATTGAGAAAGTGAAAAATTCGAAGAATTCGAAAATTAAAAAAATTAAAAATTGGAAAATTAAGAAAACAAAAGATGAGGAAATTGAGAACTTTTATATCGTATACAGTGTTCACAAATCCATAGATGGATACAATATTCCATAAAAGCAAAGAAATAAAGCAAGAATAAGACGAAGGGCTACAATGGCCAGGGATTTAGGATATAAGGGTCGCGTGAAAATGTTCCGCGAACCGTAAAGGCTTTTTGGCACGAATGAAAAAGTTAGGATCATCATGACGATTTAGCCCTTTATTTTCGGCCGAAAATAGTCCTAAGCTGAACATTTCCCAAATACCTACAATCAACCAAAAAACAAGAATCCGTTAGAAGTTTTGCATTCCCCGCGCAGCGGTGTACAGTTAAATCTTCCAAGAAACAATTAGATTACGAGTCGTCGGAGCAACAACCGGCCGAGCCGCAGCAAGTTGCGCAACTATCATAAAGTACCGGCTCGAACACGATCGCATTCGTTGTTACGGAGGAGCACAACGGCTACCTGAACATTCCCTGAACACACAAAGTGGTTGGAACAACACATTGCGGGAGGGGGTTTAGAAAAAGAGAGAGGGATTCCTTCGGCTTCGGTTGATCCGACTCCAGAAGCGCAGCTGTCGACCGTAGCCGCAGACAGCCGCACGATTCTTGCCCGACGCGGCTTCTCTCGGCCAGTTTGCGTGCTGAGCGTGCCGCGCTCGGTCGCTTCCTTCTGCCACTCGTGTCCTTTGATCGAGATACCTGTACCCGGATCCCCAGTGATCGCTGCACCGGTGGATGCGATTTTAATCGAAGAAAATCCGATTTCATTCGTTCGATTCGAGCCTGTCTACGTATTTCTCTTCGAAGTACCAAACAACATCGCGTCTCGAATGATAAATGATTAAGAATCCTGTTGAAAGCTCGTCGAACAAAGGTGTCAAAGATAACACGCGATGGAGGATGAATAATACTTCAAGGTTGTCACTTGACAAAGAATTCGTTCGCCGATTCACGAAACGCTCGATCGAACCCTTAAGACGATCGATCTGACTTAATCCCTCGTTCGGTACCAGAGAGAAACAGCCAGCAAGAGAGCAGGGATCATCCGGTGGAAAGGAAATGGAAGAGGCAGAAGAGGCAGAGAACCGAGGACGAAGACGGCGAAGACGACGCAGACGAGGACGCGACGTTGAAGAACGCTTCGAGGCCTGAGAGATCCGGAGAATGGCTGCCTCCCGCGTCGATTCGGAAATCGGCGAAGATCATACGATAATTAGAAGATCATCGATTCGCAGTGAACGTAGATCCTCGGCATCTACAGTAATCGCCAACGAAAGTCAATCGAAATGTCTTAACGATAAGGATGACAAAGTAGACAGAGTCATCGTTGTCGAAGATCGCTACAAGTCGATGGGTCACGATCGTTCTAGCAAAAACAAGTCTCTATTCGGTCGAGATAAAACGGATGAACACCAGAGAACGATCGAATCCGCTGACCAACGAAAAAGTTCCGAGGAGATCGAAGATCGCAAAAGTTCGCAGGAAGAAGAATACAAGCCACGATTGATCCGCAAGCGGGTCAGCGTGGACGACCCCGCGATACAGATTAATAAAAAAGGTATCACGGAATCGAAGAAGAAAACAGGGAACAACGAAGCGTCGATTTCGTCCAGGGTTATCTATAAATTAGTCGGCTCCGGCGAGCATCGCGGAGACACGACCGTGAAAGGGGATCAACGCGAGGCTTCGCCGAGGAATCACGTGAATTTGATCGTCGATAGGGTGGACGGTTCGCCAGAGGGTTCGGGAACCTCTCGGACGGAAGTGGCTCGTAAACTGTCCGATTCTCAGCCAGTCGTAAAAAGACGCGACGAGAGGATAGCCAGTAAGGACAGTCCTCGCGAGCCGGTTCGTAAAGGGAGAAAACAAAGGAAATGCGAAAACTGCGGAGAGCCGCACCTCCCTTACGTGGAAGGACACCCTTATCAGCATAAATACCCCGGTTATTCGGACAGCGACGCGGTGGAATACGCGGAAATTCGCGTTAAAAATGGCGCGAATGCAAAAGGCGTAGAATTCAAACAAGAAACTCCGGTTGCATCGTTGCTGTATCGCAGCAAGTCTCTACCCCGGTTGTCGATGCATGACAGTGGTGTCGCGTGCAGTGGCAATGAACAAATACACGTCGCGGTTGCACCGCATAGTAGCAAACAATGGGTGGCTGATCTGAAACAGCTGCACACCTTGAAACAACACTACTATCCGGAAGGAGGATGGGGTTGGATCGTGGTGTTCGCCGGGGTGCTGGTACAGGTGTTGTCCCATGGGATACACGGGTCGAACGGTGTTTTCCTGCAGCAGGTGGCTAACAAGTTTGGTCCTCACGCGTACTTGGAATCAGGTTAGTCGGAGAGGGTGTTTGTTTCGGATATTTTTGAAGAACAAGGGGAATAGATAGATGTGGAAATACAACGAGTTGATTTAAATGTTTTCTTTTTGTCTAGCCTTGACTCTGAATTATGGTTATTTGTGTGTTTCTCTATTCTCTGGTTCAGAATTTATTAAATGATTTTAATATGAATTTTCGAGAAATAAGTTTCCTTAACACTAGAACTACCAAGCCAGTCAAAATGACTGGTTTCAAGTTTCTTATTTTAATTCATAAATTTTAACAAAGTATTTTTGCTGAAATATTTTTGCATACTATCAATATCATCAAATGATAAATGATTTTAAAAGTCAGTTTAAATAAAAAACAAGTGGACACAAACAACAATATTGGTCGACCCATTAAGCCTAACACTCTGTTCTATCTTGTAACAAAGCGATCACATGTTCTGTACTAAAACAAGAATCACTTGACAGCTGGACGTCAGTGAAACGGTCGTATTCATAAATTACACGGCTGTAACACGCACTTCTCACGCATTCCACGCATAGTTCTAAAAGTGGAACGTCCCTTCGCGACGCAAACACGACGCGCATTAGCGTTTCCCGCCGAGTCCGAATGAACACCCTCGAATAAATCCATTCCTGTGCACGTCGCATCCCGTGGCCCTTCGCGTTTCATCCGTCACGCGTTCGCGTAATCGATCGATGAAGGGACAGAGATTATTGTCGAAAGTGAACCTTGGTGGGTTAATAACCCGCTCTGCCGTTCCCAAGCTTTAGCTTATACAGGCGGTGTTAAAGGGCGCAATTGCGCTAATAAATCCACTCCCCAGCAGCCACCACCCTCCAAGTGGCGTCCGGGTATGGATAAACTGTCCACTCGTGGGCTTACCAATCATCGTTTTCGGGTACGGAAGACCCAACACTGGACTCGTTGATATAGGGACGAAAAAGCTAACCTGAGTGGGATAAAACACCCACCAGGCGCCTTGCGCCCATAAGGGACAGATACAATGCCGATTTTTCACGGCTTTCAATTTACCCCCGGCGCGTGCTAAGCGTGCATAATCACCCTTGGGGAAAATAATTCCAAGACAGGCGAAAATCCAGCCACGTGTACGTTTAACCTTTGTTCAGACAACATCGGGTCAATATTGAGCCAAAATTTCACGAGTTCATCACGGAGAGAGGGTTAAAGGAATCGTTTCTCCTTTGGCAAAGATGACTTTTCGAATGAAATTTTCAATGCAAAGAAAGAAATTAAAAGCACGAAATTGAAAATCTTCGCGATGCATCTTACACTTCGTTCAGGATCCCTTTGTCCTCTCAACACTTTTCCTCGTTTCGCGTTGGACGCGCATGTACATCGTGCTTTGGCTTTGGGCCAAGCAGCCAAGTGTCGCCAAGTATTCTTACATCTGCCGCCCAATAAACGGGATATGAATCGCGCTAATTATAAGCGACACTTTCTCACCGCCTGTCCGCTTCGCTTTGCGACAACGCGTGAAGCAAGTAACCAAGCGTTGGTTACACTTGGCAAACATTTTCGCTCTTGTCGTTTGTAAGCTTCGAAGAAGTATGAAAGTGTTAGAACGATTTTTATCCGAACGCGATTTTTGATACGATTGCTCGATCTACGAGTGTGCTTTATGATAATTGAATGGTGGTTCCCTTTCCAATTCGTTTTAGCTGTTCGTGTTCCGATAAGGAAACGCGTGTTTCCGTTTCGAGAGATAACTGGGCCACATGCGAGAAACAGCAGGGGACAACACGCCATCTCCTTAGAATTGCGAATATTTTGTAGGGATTATTAGACCGGGCGAAACACCATCGTAAGCCTGTATAGATTTTCCCAACGATTTCATTCAAGCGCCTCTTAGGTCGCGGGTCACGACTCTAAAAACGAGCAGCATCATTTTTAATGTTCCGTATGGAACGATCTAACTCGTTCGTCAAACCGAACTGCCGAATGGTCGAATAAAAACGAACTGTTCTCTCGCTTTTACGTCATTCTCTGAGAAGGTCCGCTTGTTCGATTCTAAAGGATTTAGTGGCTAAGACTGACGTCACGATGGAACACCGATCCTGTTCCCGTTCGTGAAAGCGTTTAATTTGAACGAGTGCGTGCATACGTGAGATCAGGTGGTCGTGTGAAGAACGTAAATCGATTCTCTCTTCAACTTCTGATTTTGGTCGGCTAGATCCAAATCGAGATCGAGAAATCGGTTCAGCTCTTTACCGTTTGCATGGAACATTTTTAAGGCAGATCTACTTGTTAGAGGGAAAATAAAACGTGGAATGAATCTCGAAGTGGTAGCTCGAATCAAATTCCTTTTTAATAGGATTTTCTATTTTCAACGATTTTCCCTTCCTTCGCCTTTGATTCTACTTTATTTAATTTTAAAGGATTGTAAAAATCCACGTATCAAATAAATGGAAGATAAAATTTTAGCAACAATGAAAATGTATTATTTGCAATTCACGCTAATTTTCGCGACGTCAACCGGAAATAACGAGGGCATTCATCCTTTCGGTTCACACATTCTCTATTCATAGCCAAATTAATTCGGCATTATAATTCTCCCATACTGATGCTGTCGGGAACTTTCACGTCGGAAGACAGATCGCCACCCACACGTCGTCCACGGTGCAAAAGCATCGATCAAATTATATATCAAAGCTGAAAGTTGACGCTCTGATTCTATAATCGGTACTTCTATGAATTCCAGTTAACAAGAACTACCATAGAAAAAGGACATAGAACAAATGTGTGCAGATTTAAAACAGGAGTCAGACTTTAACGAGGCTGTCGCATTTCTAATCATGTTGTTAGCCGCGTACTGACCGAGTAAAATAACTTTCATTCGCTTCAGGTGGGCCACACGACCGGTACAAGAACTTTAATCAGGAATCCCATTAATTAGTGTTCCGTTGTTACTTGATCCATTCAAGACCGTGTAATTAAATGCTGTGGTGTTGAATAATTTATATGAAACAAACTGAGTACTTAAGAAAAATTATAATACTGGGAAAAATATATTTCAATGTTTTGTTAATTTTATCGCAGATAAAAAGATTTAATTCGAAAGGAAACTGGTGCTCTAATTTCCAAACAGTTGCCCCATTACAAACGCAATAGGATTGTTCTTAATATAGCAATGAGAGAGTTCTTTTTTTCTCCGAGAACGAAATGTGATTACGTTATTTAGAAAGTTAGGAAACGTGCGTCAGAGTAGTTCACTGGCAACTAGAATTACACGTGGGCGTGTATTTGTATGCATGCAGGGGATGAGTGTTCTTAACCAAGAACAATGAGAGGGAAGTTTTCGAGAGAATGGTGAATTAAACGGTAGTTCCAAAGAAGCGATCGACGAGGAGAATCTAAAGAGTTTATAGCTGGAATTTAGGAACGACTTAAGTTGAAGGAGACAACTATAGCATTGAAGTTTATCTTGAACACTACCACGAACCTTATTTTAAATTAAATTATCCGCAATTAAAATATTCAACACGAAAGGGAATCGTTGCGAAAGAATTTGCAAAAGAAAGAAATGAAACGCTAGAGGCAAAAGTGCAAGATGGTAGACGATGGAAGATAAGAGAAACGCGATAAAAATTTTCTGAAACAGCCCCCTGCTGCGAGACTCGAGGGTTCGCTAATTTTATTTTTTTCTACAACCCGTTTCTCTTCTTTTTCGGCGTCAAAATGTTCGCTTGTTAAGGAGGCGAGTCGTCCAGACGCCTCTTGGGGAAGTTTCAGTTCGGAGTAAGGATTATTGTAACAGCCGTAGATAAAGAAAGGTGGCCTTCGCGAGAGAAAAGAGAATCCCGGGTAACAGGATTCTGGTATCAGCAACGACGGAAGCAAGCTCGTTCTACGAACGTTAACAATCAGACGGGAATACGTAGGATATCGTGGAATCCACCCCTTGCGTTACTTGCCAATTTTTTCCCTTTTTTAAAGGAAATTCGTTCCGCGATACGGCTTCGATACTGCAAGTGTTACTACGCTATCTTGCAGGTAGAACAATCACAATAATCACGATTTCCTTTTTTTTTATCAGCTTGAAGGAGGGACTACTCCAGTGTCTGGTACATCAAATTTTATAAAATTTAATTATTAAGAAAAAGACAAGAAAAAACGAACTTTGAATACCATTAGAATTAATAGAAATTTATAATTTGAAAATCAATCAACCCTTGCCCTTAATAATTGGTATCTTAATATGTCTGACTATAACCCTTCGTTTCTACTGCAGCAATCAAAGTGTTCACAGTATAATAAGTGCAAAATATAATTCTACTCCCACAATGGTTGAATAACAGCATAGTAAACGTCAAAAAAAGTGAGCTCGATCTTCGACCGGTTGAACTTATTTTCATTCGAGCTACTTTCACGGTCGAAATCATTGCCCCATTTTATCCCCATTTGCCGGCCAACAACAGGCTGCCATGTACGGTGTACAATAGCCACGTTACTGTCAACCGTAAATATCGACAGGGACGAAAATGGCCGCGCGAATTGCCTTTTGTTAGATGCAATTCGCGAGTCGATCGTTACACGCGTCGCTAAACAGCACGCGTTTAAAAGGCACCGATGCACGTCCGCTTTTTCACGGCGCAAATTGCCCGCCGTAAAGTAATGAGAGATACGGCCGGTGCAAAAATACTCGAGGGCGAGGAAGCGTGCAACAGAGTTGCTCGAAAACGAGAAGATGAAAAAGAAACGGAAGGCAGATTTATCGGGTAACGGGCGCGAGAAAGTTGCTACACGTCGTTGAAACGCGACACGACGACGCGATTATTTGAATTTGCCGGGAAACGAGGAAACGCGCTTATGAAAATACTTGGGATGCTTGGAAATAGGGATGGCATCGAAAACGGTTTCCTGTTTGCGTTGACACTATTTTCACCCTTCTATGCACTCGTGTAACTTTCAAGTATCATATTAAATTCTTAGATTCTAAATTTTCTTTCCAATTTTTTTCTCTTCTATAGTAAAAAGAAAAA